GATGATTTTGGATTTTCTAAAATTAGAACCTGAACTAAGGACTTGGGTTCTTGCAGTTGATTTGTGAGAGAATCCAGGACCTCAAAGTACAAGATGGGAGAAGTCAAACGGAAAGGCCTGGAAAGCTGAAAAAGGGGTGTGTGTCTCAGTGAGTCACTGCTCTGGGCAACAGGATCTCTGTTATCCTGGGACTTCCACAGAGCACTTGGATGCCTCCTGGAATTATTTGTGTTGGATGCCTGCACACTAGAGTGTATTGCCACCAGTTTCCCTTGTCCATGGGCTGATGATTCTCACCAGCTCCATTGACTGCTGCCTCCCTCTAGTACCCATTCTTGCACACTAGTCTAGCGGACTGCCACTACTTCGTGGAAGGCTGTGAGGCAGAAAGAAACTCTTGCTTGAGGTGATGCAAGGTGCATCTAAGGTTGTATGGGACTCTAGGCTGCTGCATTTGGCACTGAAATGAGAAGTAAGCTTGGATGTACAATGTGCAGAACAAAAATGGATACCATTGTGTGTCCCTTGTACTCAGCTTCACAGGAACTCGAGCCTGAGTTTTCTTGGTCTCTGAGTCTTAGTGAAACAAGATGCAGTTGCCATTACTGTAACCCATATTATTACCAATAGTCATCATCTCCTTTCTTCACTTCCATTCTAGATTTTCATTGTCTTCAGTTACATATTGAACTGCCATAATTTGCTTGCCTGCTGTGACAATCTACACTTCTATGCCTAAGGGCTTTGAGCTTTTGCTTGTCTTTCCCTTATCTGGTCACATTGCTGAACTTTGTCATTTACCATATCCATATGGAATAGAAATATCACTAGTCCCCATCAATTTTAGTGGCCCTAACTCCTCGTGACAATAAGGGCAAAGTACATCAACTACTATAGTAACTTTTTAAAAAAATGCTTTTCAGGGGGCCAGCGCTGTGGTGCAGTGGGTTAAAGCCCTGACCTGCAGCGCTGGCATCCCATATGGGCACCGGTTCTAGTCCTGGCTGCTCCTCTTCTGATCCAGCTCTCTGATATGGCCTGGGAAAGCAGTAGAAGATGGCCCAAGTCCTTGGGCTCCTGCACTTGTGTGGGAGACCTGGAAGAAGCTCCTGGCTCCTGGCTTCGGACTGGCGCAGCTTTGGCTGTTGCAGCCATCTGGGGAGTGAACCAGAAGATGGAAGACCTCTCTCTCTCTGTCTCTACCTCTCTCTGTAACTCTGTCTTTCAAATAAAATAAAATGATTCTTTTAAAAATTTTCTTTTTCATAGTAACTTTTTTGTCTTCTGGTCCATGACCATGAGGAGCCCAAAGTCACCAGGTGACAGTGTGGCTTTAGGTTCTGAGACATTTTACATGTGCTCTGGTACCTAGGTTCTCCCCCTTGGAAGCACAATCTTTGAGTTATCAAGACTTAGCACTGTGAGTTCTGGAAACACATTATCTTGTAAGTCAGTCTGTGCATGGTGTTTAGAGAGGATAGCATTAGTCATAGCCTTATTTCCCAGACCCATGTGTGTACTCAGGCACATACAGTGGCTGTAGTTTGAATGTATAATTCCACATCCTAGAGGACAGAGCGAAGACCCTCAGTGTCATCCCTCTCAGCTGGAAAGTGATGTTCATACTTCCCAAAGTCTGTTCACAATGTCACCGAGAAGAATGATATGGTTTGGGTCAGAGCAAAACTTCTAGAAATCTACCTCATTCAGTTATTTTTCCCGAAACCCTCCTAATGCTCCAGTGCCCCAAATCTTTCCTATTAATACCAAAGATTTTACAGAAAATCCCTTAACTCTGGCTTGCTCAACTCTTACTGTTATTTCACCGATTCCTTCCTTCAGCTTCTGAGTTTCAACTGACTTTTTTTGGAAATAATTACCAATAAAAACAATTTTCCTATATTTTTAATGAAAAGTAAGCTCACTCTTAGCTCTTTGAAAATCTCTCTGTTCTCTCTCTTCCAACGGGTATGAGAAATTCCTGTGATCTCACTCCAGCCATAGATGAAGCAGGAAGGAAGAAACATGGAGAATAGTTACTCACAAATTGTTCTTGCCATACCTATTGACATTGAAAAAGCTCTCATGTGTACAATGAATTCTCTACAGTTCCAACTTCTGCCCTGCTCTGAGGACATGGTGCTTCCCCTTCATCAGGAATTCTAAGGAAAGCCCCATCCATGATGGCTCTGACCCCTACTCAATGGTCCACACTAACTGCACCACACTCTCTCTGTAGGAAGGTTTGTTTTCCACTTCAGAGCTCCTATTATAAATCTCTGATAATACCTTTCTATGGTATACACTTATTAAGAAACCAAATCTCAGTTATTGAGTCTTTATTACTTCATAGCCTTAGAATTTTTACATCCTATCAATATGCTCTACAAAATATTATATGACACTTATTATCATGGAAACTATTGTGTGATTTCATAGTTATTAATTTCTCTAACTCCAGCCCTCTGTTCTCTTTGAGAGAGAGGGGCTCTGCCTCTGTATTATCTGTAATGTGTGATGATGTGAGCAATATTAGCAGGACATATCAGTTCCTACTTGGAGTTCAAGCTGGAGAAATGTTCTCATTTCATGGTGTTACATTCTTTCTCTGGATCATAGTTCAACACCCTCTCCAAGCAGTCATTGGTTAACAATTTGATCTTTGCATGGCCAATACTTTAGCAAAGCCATGTATTTAGTCTCCAGAAATTGTATCACTTTGCTGATAGCAGATAAAAGCATCCTTGGATAATTATCCTTGGACAGCATTTCTCATCAAAATGCTTATGGTATTGAGTGTTAATAGTGATTATTCTGCAATATAACATTTCTCTTCAGTAGTAAGAGCTTGGATGAAAACCACAATGTGGCATTATTATTATTTTCAGTATTATCACAGAAAACAAAGTGACTGGTACAGTGTGAAATCAATGGCAAAGGAGAAAAGTACAGAGAGAATGAAAAGCTATGTGACTGGAACAATTTTATAAAAATATATATTTGCTTACTACTTCTTTGATGGACAGAGTGACAGAAAAAGAGAGAGAGCGATCTGGGGCTGGGTCAGGCTAAAGCCAGGAGCCAGGAACTCCATGGCAAGAAACCAAGCACTTGGACCATCATTCTCTACTCCCCATGCTCATTCTCAGGAAACTGGATGAGAAGCAGAGGAGCCATGACTTGAACCAAGTACTCCAGTATGGAATGCCAACTTCTCAAATGGAAGCTTAACCTGTTGCACCATAGAGCCTTCCCCTGAACATAAAACTCTTGATCTCCTCCTCTGGGGCAGGTAGAATAACGAGGAGGGAATTTATAAGCAAGAACTGACTTTTAGGACTGAGATTAAATTGTGTCTCAGAGAAACATTGAGCTATTCTGAATGGTATTTTGAATTGTTATTCTCCTATTAGAATATGAGCAATTTTTTCACTTTTAATACCTCATAGATTACTATCCTAAATCTTTCTAACTATTCTTGAGTTTGAACATTTCTACTGCCAATAGGCAGATTCCGAGTGTTGAATAATAGTGTAGTCCTGCAGGTCACTATGGCAGCCAGCAGAGAGAGCTGCAATGTGACTGTGCTCATCTCATCTGGAAACAGAGGCAATATCTGGAATGCAGTCAAGAAGGGTGCATCTGGGCTTCCATGCAGGCGTAGTTCTTAAAGATGATGGATATGCATATGTGTATTACATGACTTTTTATGGTATTTTAAATTTCTGAAATACGTTATGATGTTTACTTTTTAAACTACTCAATTCCAGAAGAAAAGATTATAAATTTTTTTGTGATTATTACCTGTCAATACTAAGGATATCTTATTAGCTCCACAACTAGGAAAACGTTATGATAGAGCATGTGGAATTGTCACGCAGTATCTACTTAGAAGGGAGGAATTATCACATGTCAAGAAGAGGTGCTATTATGGAAGGGTGCTTAAAAATACACCATTTTCCCCTCATTTCAAGCTCTGGACCCAATGTCATAGGATGAGCCCATAGTGTAAGATCGAGCTCAGACAAAACATTTGAAAGGAGTGAGGTATGAAAAGAGGACCTTTTATAGAATAGTGGTTCTCAACTGGGGTGATTTTCTTCTCCAAGTGACATTTGACAAAGTCCAGAGTCATTGTTGATAGTTACAACTTCGAGTGGAGGATGCCATTGGGTAAAGGCCAGGATGGTGCTAAATATCTTATAATATGCAGGACAGTCCCCTATAACAAAGAAATATCTGACCTAAAACGTCAGTAGTGCTGAGGTTAAGAAAACCTATTGTGAGATGAGAAATGTTTTGTTGTTTTGGGAATGATGTGAACTGAAAGAGAGAATCATGACGTTACAGATACCAGGGGATCCCACAAAGAGGTACCCCATGGTCTCTCTCCCAGAAGAAGGCTGAAGGAGTGATGGAAATTGAGGTATTTGTGGGATCTGCTATAAAAAGTTTGCTAGAGAAGTCTGGGCAGACGAGTCTCAGATGGTCTCTTGAATATTTCTTCATCCGAACAGAGACATGGAATAAATATAACGCCTCTCTTCTTGATTCTGTTGTTGGATTGTTGGGAGAGTCATTGTACTTAAAAAGCTCAGGCAAATAGGGAACATGGACACACCCATGGGTAGTGACCCTGGCTGCCAAGTGAGCAAGTGACAGTGATGCTCAGAGGGGAACCATCCAATTTCAGTTTTGTGTGCATTAAAAACAACTCTTAGAAAAAGAAAGAACCAAATCTCAAATATGATTATGTGTGTAACATCTTGGTAGAAAAGGATTTTGAATATGAATTGATCTGAGCCACAGAAAAATAGAGATACATTTTGGGTATACCTGTAGTGTTGGCTGAAATTTGTACCCATTTCACCACAAATTTGTTATTGATATTTTAGCTGGAGATTAAACCAATGCTAATAAATGATCTGTACTCATTCAAACATGACCTATACATTTTTATCTATGACACATACCCCAATTCTTACTATTTTCTATTGCAGGGATGCTCATATCTCAGGAAGTAAGAAGGAGTGAGGTCCGCAGCCACCAGCAACTATGAAGTCATGTGGAGTCCTTCTGTGAGGAAATTCTTTTTGGCTTGACTCTTCACATTATCATTTATTTTACCCATGGTGCCTGAGAATTCTGTCTACAAAATCATGCTCTTCTCCCAGAAGTCCTGACAAATGATCTGCTCATTGCCAGACTATGATTGATACCATATTTTGAAAATCCCGCAAAGCCATAGGTTATCCATTTTAGAAAACTCAATTTTCTAAAAAATCAAATTCTTAATGAATATTCTTTAAAAAGAAGCCTTTGCAGAGTATATTCCCTATTTTTAAACTTCTATCTGGCTAAGATCCTACATGATTTTGCTCCCAAGAATAGAGGTAGACTCTTCCCTCTCAAAGTAGGTTTTGAATCTATCTTTGTGCAACCTTTCAGTAGCAGGGTTTTTTCTTTTCTTTTTGCATTTTCCTCCTTATTTACTAGCAGATGGATATTTATCATTAGACTATCAGGAAACTAGTACTCCTATTCTAGAAGTCATTGTCTTTATAAGTACTTATATCTTTATTAGTGTACTTGAATTCCTTCTAGCTATCTTCTACAAATCATAATCATTGCACACACACACACACACAAACAAACATACAAAAATGCAGTGTGTAGAGTACCTTGATTTCCCTTTGTCATCTTTTCTTGTTGTCTTGGTCAAGAAAGATGTTTAAATTTCACTATTTCTAATTCAACTTAGAATACAAAGTTGATGTTCTATAAAAAATAATGTTCCTACTTGAGTAGCCTCTTCTTTTGATTCCTTGGGAAGATGATGCATTATTTATGGAGCATCTTGCCATGAAATGTGTAACAAATGTTATGGAGTCTCAGTCTCCTTAATCCTCATCTTTCTAGTATGGCACAGAAATCTAATATAACAAATGTTGACTTCTGTTTATTTCAGTTACATTAGATTTCTAAAACAGTCTTGCAAAAAATAAAGAGAACTAAACATTGCTAGTTTCTACAAATAGCTATAAAAATTGTTCCCTAAGCAAGATTGGATAGTTATTTCAAATGAGATGCTTATTGGCAACCATTAGCATAGGTAGTTGCACCATTAAATGAAGGTCATCTTATATTACCGACAAGTAAAAGTATAAATAAAAGTATAGGCTTTTCTGATTACTCAATATTTGAGTATCAGCATATTTTTCTGAACAAAGCATTCTTATAAGCCTAGAAAATGATAGCTCAAAAAGTTAAATGCCTTAATCCACAAATCACTTACATATAAATGGCTTAAAGTCATGTCAAGGTGACATTTTAAAAAATATTCACATAATTAGAAAATACATTGCACAAGAGTCACTTAATCCCTGACTCTTCCTCTTAAGGCAATTGTGTTTAGAAATGCCATTTAGCCGGCGCCGCGGCTCACTAGGCTAATCCTCCGCCTAGCGGCGCCGGCACACCGGGTTCTAGTCCCGGTTGGGGCGCCGGATTCTGTCCCGGTTGCCCCTCTTCCAGGCCAGCTCTCTGCTGTGGCCAGGGAGTGCGGTGGAGGATGGCCCAGGTGCTTGGGCCCTGCACCCCATGGGAGACCAGGAAAAGCACCTGGCTCCTGGCTCCTGCCATCGGATCAGCGCGGTGCGCCGGCCGCAGTGCGCCGGCCGCGGCGGGAATCGGAGGGGTGAACCAACGGCAAAAAGGAAGACCTTCTCTCTGTCTCTCTCTCTCACTGTCCACTCTGCCTGTCCAGAAGAAAAATACAAAACAAAAAAAAGAAGAAATGCCATTTAAAGGAGCCTTAGAGTGATTAAAACAAATTTCTTACAATGACCTTAAGCACTCTTGAACACTTGTGTTTTTTTTTTTGATTTCCTAATACAGAAAATAACTTAATGTGATGACCTTTCCTAGTATGCATATGCACTGACTGCTCTGTGTTTGATTCTAGACATGCTTGTGGATTGTTAACCAAACTCCTCAAACTGTGGCCCTCCCATGATTGTTTCTATTGTTTAGTGGTTTTCTATGAATTTGATTTGATTTATTATGTGGACAGAAGTCTTGAGCAAAACCAAATGAAAGGTATGGACTATGTTGTTGATTCTGCGGTCATAAGGGACATAGTGGAAGCTATGAAAACACTAAATCAGCAGCTGAGATCCAAAAGTGGCAACAAAATCCAAAATACTCAATGTAAAATCTGTATTAAGTTAATACTCAACACAAAACTAATGGATGGTCCTGATACTTGCTATTAAACTCTGCTCTTTCTTTGTGAGAATAGATATTTTAAAGAATAAAGATATAATCAATACATTCCTTTGTAGTCACATAATAAGTTTTAAATGAAATGATTTTAGCCATTTGGTGTGGTCCTAATTTCTACATCCACTAAGACAGAGGGTTTCTCTTCAGAATGAATTTATTGCATATAAATTAGGCAAACCTGAGAATACACAGATAGGGGTTTTGTTGGTGAAGAGATCACAGTATAGAAAGAGAAAAGAGAGGCAATTTATAACATGGATACTTATAGGGTTTCAAGGAACTCCAAAATGACTCCAAATTAAATTTCACGCTTAGTAGTTTCCTTCTTTCTGAAGTTGCGGAAATAACCTGCCCCAATTCTGAAGGCTGCATTATTATACACAAATTGCTCAAAATAGGGCTTGACACATTAGCTGTTGGCTGTTATCAGCCCCTGTCATCACTGGGAAAACTACCCTCTTCCCTTTGTTCTTTACTTGTTATGCAATAGCAGCCACCCCTTACTGGATGCCTACTATACATCACTATTTTATCCCAAGTAACATTTCATTGAATTCTCCCACTCTCTAGAGGACTGATTTCTAGATGGCAAGTTTAACATTCAGAAATTCACTGATTCGTCCAATTTTAGCTCTAGCAAATCCAGAGCTAAAATTCATGCTACACTTTTTGACTAAATCACATAGTCCCAAGGGTTTAGATCGCTATGGAAACTTGGGTTAAACTACTTAGTTCTCCAGTTCTATTTTTTGTGGGATTCTCTTGGGACTTACCCTGTAGGGCAAAGACATTGAAATAAAAACTTGCTTTAACTTGTAGAGAACTAGAAACACATACACAGTCAATTCAATGCACTTTCCTAACATACCTCCTTTTCTCCAGCCAGCCTGTAGAGGAGATGAATTTGTGGGCCTTAACGAATGGAAAAAACACAACTGAGCACTTTGCTTCTCAAATTCAATAGTTTACAGAAAACTCCACATGTCTGGGTGTGTCCTGTGACACTTACTGTGCATAATTAATAATCTACATTCATGCCAAAGTACTAAGCAACCTGGAGAGAATTAAACAAGTGTGACCCATAAAGAAAGAGGAAACATGAAGTATGGTGAAGAGGCTTGCTTTTCACGGACTGTGCTTATTCCCATCTCCTTGCCTAATGTGCCCTTCATCAGTTTCTTCCCCCATACCTGCCTTAAAGTAAACCGATGTGATTATACTGGGTTTATATCAATGCTGAACAGCTTATTAAATGTGTAGCTGTATTTGTTTTTATTGCTTTAGAATATAAACATTTATATGAACACCTATCACGTATACTTCAATTTTTTAAAAGATTTATTTTAATCTCTATTTTTTAATCTATTTATTTTAGTCTAGTCTCTCCAGACTGTGATCTCTTCACCAACAACACCCCTATCTGTGTATTTAAAAGATTTATTTTATTTGAAAGGCAGAGTTACAGAGAGGCAGAGGCAGAGAGAGAGAGAGAGAGAGAGAGAGGTCTTCCACCCACTGGTTCACTTCCCAAATGGCCGCAACGGCTGGAGCTGAGCTGATCTAAGCCAGGAGTTTCTTTTGGGTCTTCCAAATGGGTACAGGGGCCCAAGGGCCTGGGCCATCTTCTACTGCTTTCACAGGCCATAGCAGAGAGCTGGACCGGAAGTGGAGCTGCAGGGACTTGAACTATGGCTTTACCAGCTACGCCACGGCACTGGCCTCCACATAGACTTCATTTTATGGAAGTAATGATTGACTAAAATGTTTCAAATGGTTAACTACAGTCAGCACAGTTCTAAGCATTTTACATTATTTCATTTAATCTTTAGAACAGTCCTGTGACATACATATTCCTAATATCCTGTTTACACAAATAAACTAAATCCCAAAGAATTTGAATAAAATGTGCAGGATTAGGATCATAAAGCTAGCAAAATATACAAGATCATAAAGAAAGTAAAAATGCGAAGCCAGACAGCCGAACAGACCTTTTTGTTTTTTTGGTTCAGCTCTATATTATACTACTTTCCATACTCTTTAGAAAATCTGTAAAATGATTGAGGAAATAAATATCACCCATAATTGCATCGTTAAGAGGTAGCCATAGTCTGTAGTTTCAAACTATTCCACACAGAGACAATATTGTACCAGCACAAAGTTCATATTTTCACTCACTACATTTGCATAACTTAAAATATTTTAAATTGTTTGAATGTTAGGATTTCCTTTTTATGGCATATGGCACTTGCATCCAGCTTTTTAGGACTATCAGTTGCTCTCATATGTTTTACCACAAAAAGACTGCACTAACATATTTGTGTTTAAAATCTTTTACAGAATTATTCATATTTTTTTTAACTTTTATTTAATGAATATAAATTTCCAAAGTACAGCTTATGGATTACAATGGCTTCCCCCCCACAATGTCCCTCCCACCCGCAACCCTCCCCTTTCCCACTCCCTCTCCCCTTACATTCACATCAAGATTCATTTTCGTTTCTCTTTATATACAGAAGACCAGTTTAGCATACATTAAGTAAAGATTTCAACAGTTTGCTCCCACACAGAAACATAAAGTGAAAAATACCATTTGAGTACTAGTTATAGCATTAAATCTCAATGTACAGCACACTAAGGACAAAGATCCTACATGAGGAGTAAGTGCACAGTGACTCCTGTTGTTGACATAACAATTTGACACTCTTGTTTATGGCATCAGTAATCACCCTAGGCTCTTGTCATGAACTGCCAAGGCTATGGAAGCCCCCTGAGTTCACCGACTCTGATCATATTT